AATATTTTAACATTAAATGGCAATGCCGTCTACCGTTACAGTTGCCAGTATGCTCTGCCGGTGTCACCTAATTTTAATGTCCTGCTCTTGTCTACCAAAATAATATCCAATCAGCTGTCTGCTGTCTCCCTGATTCCATGTGAACGCAACATGAGGTCACAGTTTTTGTAGGTGTTTAACTTGACTGTATTATATTGGATAACATCCCTAACGTTCACATTTGTAAATGTGGTGGGCAAAATTTATAGACTCTCTGACAGTGTCACTCAAAACTGAAAGTTATTATTATTGTAAAGATGTGACTAAGCTGTTGTGGGATTGTGTTCGATTTCACGGGTGTACCTAATAAAGTGGCCACTGAGTGTACTGGGTGTCTATAGTTTCTTAAAACATCTTAAATTCAATTTTACAATAATAAGGCCTTAAAAGTCATAAAATAGAATAGAAATAGAATTTGTGCAGTCTTAAATACTACAAACATTTTATCTCATTTCATTATTCATTTTTTATTATCTTTCAATGCTAAAAACAGGATTTGTCCAAAAATCTGTCCTAACTTTGGTTAAAAGGCATCCTGAACAGGTCTTAAAAAGCATTAAATGTAACTGATACCTGTAGACACCCTGTGATAGCACAAATGTATCTCCTACATCAGCATTCATAACACACAGCAGAAAGAACAGATGATGTGGGTGATGGTTATAAACTTTCCTCCTCCATGAGAACAACAATGCCCCTAAGAAGTTGAAGAGGTGGGAGGAGAAGTGTCAGCCACTTCTGTTTGTGGCCGTGTCCACATTTACAAACTATCTCTTTATTTAAATCAGCAAATAAGTAAGTGTGTTATTTTGAAAACAAGAAAGCCAGGGAAGGACTCCGTTTATGTTTATTGTTTATTATAATTATTAATATTAAGTCATTTGTGTTATGGTTTTAAACTTAAATTACAGTTTTCTAATTTTAACATTAACAGTAGTTTAAATTAAGTCATGACAGCGTGACAGTGAGCCAAATGCACAACACCAGGGCCCTTAAACTGAAGCAGCTAAATAGCATTCAGCTGTTTTTTAAAATTAATTTTATTATTTAGGCCGCTCCTGTACTTTTCCTACATGTCAAATTGTATCTGTGACAAACGCCTGATGTAAACTCTTGATGCTTGGTGCTCACATCGAACACAAACACAGCTGTTTTGCCTGGAAGACAGAAGATGCTGGTTGACAGTCTCAGAGAAACCAGATGGGGGCATCAGTTACCTAGATTTGCTCTCATGGTGGAAGCTGAACTTTTTCCCCCTTTTTCACATTTGAAACTTGGTCATTTCAAAGCTTTGTGTGTTTTCCATAAGTATAAAATCACTGCACACACAAACAGGCCTAACTCACACCTGAAAAGTGTGTGTTTAACAAAACATTAGAGCATGTGCAGTCTTGTCATGTTTCAAATAATCACATTTTTAGTGGTGTCACAACAACAGCCACTTGTGGTCATATCTGTGTATGGGGTGTGTTTTCATCGAGGTGTTTGTGGCACACTGAGCTGTAGAGCAGGCGCAGAGGTCTTCACACATTTTCATGAGAATGACATTTTAATTAATGAGAATACTGACATCAACACCCAAAGGAACATCCTGTTTTTGCTTTAGTCAGAGTAGTTAGAAAATGTACTTCTTGACAGGTAAACTTCACCTTAACATCCCCTCAAGTCAGAGCAAAACTTAGAAAGTCGGTGAAAATGTTGGTATACAAATTGCCGTCTTATTTGCAGACACATGGTAGATGAAAGTAAATATTCAGTTGATAGTAATAAACTTTTTAATAACTCAGATATTGCTTGTGATTTGTAATATTGCATGAGGTTGAAACCAGTAGTTGCTGTCCACACAGAGTGACTGAGACTAATTAGAAAAGTTATTTATTAGTATTAATAAAGCAATCGGCCTATTTGATTATTTGTATGGGACATTCTGGCGCAGCTGGGACAAAATCACTGTGTAATATAAAGCTTCAAACTGTTATCAACATGTTGTTTAAATGCTCTGAACAACAACAACACATCTTTGTTGCTTCCACGTTGTTTCCACATTACGACCTAAATCTCAAGAGTACAACAAATTTGGAAAAAAGGCTTCTCAACTTGAAAATAAAGTGCTCCAGCAATGACGCATTTCTGTAGACCGATGAGGAAGTTACCGTTGCACTTGTTCCCTAGTCAAAAAGCCAATGGGATTTTTCCATTGGATGTTGGAATACTGCAGGAAATAAACTCTCTGGTAAACAAATGTTTATGATACTTCAAGTTTTGTTCAGCAAGATAATCTTGAAATGAAGACTTACTTTCATGATTACTGAAGCTTAAATGCAGTTGCCAGAAATAAAAAGCTAACGATATAGGTCACAGCCACATAAGGCTGTGGAGTGGCTCGGCAGGATATATTCTGTAGTCTCTTTAGCTACTTGTTATAGAAACCACCATTTTTAAGACGCATAGAAGATTCAAAGTTGACAAGTGGAATACCGTAAAACTTTAATTAAGAGCCCGGGCTATATTTGCCTAAATCACTGAAATCAACAGGCTTATATGGGACAGACTGTTGCTCAGTAAAGATCAACAAATACAATCAAATTGTTTATGTTAACCAGTATGAATATTACCTTATAATTAAAAATGAAGCTTCAGATAATATATCTATTATAATATAACTTACAGGGTAATCAAGGAATGGACACATAATTTGAGGTAGCCAACAACCCACTCTTATACTTCCAAAGAACATCTATAAAGAAAAAAGAACGTCTTGGCAACCAGACCAGGCGTCTAATTGAGACAGGAAAATGTGTAGCCACACAGGGCCAGTAGAAGGGACCAGTTAAATGAAGTTTTATTCTATTTACAGATGTATTTTATGTCGTAGAACAAAAAGTGAGTCTTAAGCTTGTGTTAACAACAGGCACACCTGTATTTATATCTCTGCACAATGCTCACTATAAGGTGTGTTATCACTGTTATTACAACATAAATGTTTGTTTTTATTTACTAATATCAAATAACAATTGACAACCAACTATTACACATGAAATATGTATTAACAAAATGATTCAAAAAATCATTTTAACCTTCTAAAATTACATCAAATCACTAATAACACATCCATTTAAACAGGAAATAATGTAAGATAATGTGATGTGTCACACACTGATAATTCCCATGTGTGAATGGGGACAAATAGGTTCACCGTGACATTTTTTTTAAAATTAAATTAAATTACATTCTTTAGCTAGAGTTTGCCTCTTTATTAGGAAATGTGTGCTCACATCATACTGATACAGTCAATTAAAAATTAATTCATAACTTTTTTATAGGCCCAGTTGAATATTGCAATGATAATGTGGTTATCACAAAATCCTACGGCACAACTGCATCAACTTTTTTCTTAAAGCACCCATATTTTTACCATTAGACTTTGGTGACACTCAGCCGACGTCAACGTAGAGCCTAACCTACGCCGTAGCCTGACGTGCACCACTGCATCTCCCCAGAAATGTAACTACACGTCACAGCAACACAAACCTCCTGTCTATTTTTGTAAGCTGAAACCATTTCCCTCAGTGGAAACAAAGCTTTTATTTACTTTAATTTCACAGATGAGAAAAGCCTCTGCAAAATAGCATTTTAAGTCTTGCCGTGTGATTTATCCTGGCTTCATATGAGCAGAGGAAATCTCAGCTCGCTGCAAGGCTAATTTATACAATGTAAAATGCCATAGGCTTGTGCTAATAACGTTAGCATGTTGTATTTGTGGGGAGAATATGTCCAGATAAAGACAAATGCTTTGTCTGTGAATGCTGCGAGTTATAGTGAAGCTGATTTGTGTACTTGTGTTTTAAACTGTCTCTATTTCACCATATAAAATGTGTGTTTAATGTGTGTTTTGAATCAACTAAACTTTACAGCACTTCACAGAAACTCAGTTGCCGACTAGTATTCTGGAGTATAAATGCATAAATGCTCACAACAGCGTTGGCGACGCAGTGTTTCCACTAGGTTTACAGCTTTGGTTCAGCCCACTTGGTATGCTGCTGTGTTGTGCTATGGCCTGTTGAAGTGCTGGAATTTGTTATTTACGTGACACGCCTGAACGCAACACAGGCTCTGCTCCTATAGAGCTCTTAAGTTGCATCTTTCCGTTTCCAGTACATGGGACCTTAAAAATCGATTACTCATAATGTATTCCAATGGCTAGATGAAAATTATTTTCTGGTCCCATTTGAATTGTGCCATGAATTTCACATATGTTGTTTGTGAATTTTTAATATATTTTTTGTGCAAAGAAGGCTACAATTTAGCGGGAAGAAGTTTGATACTGTTAGGTTTTGTGTGAGAGTGCTTTGTGGACTACAGCTCTTCGCTGCTCTCGACGCGTATGATATATGTCATCACTCGCACTCGGAACATGGCTGTGTCTCTGTTACACTTCACCGCTTTCGTCCAAGGAGAGGACAAAAGCCTTAAGCGTGGCGAAAACCACTACAAGTCTGGACATGTGGAAAGTTTCAGCTACGCCACTGGGGAGATGGTCGGTGTTGATGGCTCCGTAGATCGTGGCAGAAGACGCAGCAGCACTGTGAGTTGAGAAGTGGAGGCAAAGTGTGATGACGTGACGTCACATAGGCGACATGTAGTCTTTCTCATTACGTTGTTTCCACAGCCTTTAACTGAAGAATCATACAATAAACTGTCAAACTCTTAACATGAAAAAAATTTATTTAGACCCACACAAAACATTTGTGTAATCCAAGGCATTTAATGACTGGGACCAGAAGATAATAATTTTCTCTCCATTGACTCCCATTCATATTTTCCGAGCCTAGGGGTCCGATGGGGGTCTACCGGAAGGGGCTTGACTTCAGAGCTCTATTGAGTGTGTGTACAGTGCCATGCTGGCTGCTGAGCAAGGGGCGTGTTTGACTGTGCGTAACAGCAGCCTTTTGATGGTCATTTACACTCTGTCCATAACAATAACTATGTCATATTACACTATTACACCACTTAAAATCAAGAGGGCTTTGCGACCCCCCCCCCCCCATGGCTCATTGGTGCCCTCCTAAGGGGGTCGTGAGCATGTGAATGCAGCATAAGTCCTCTTCTGCAGGTCAGATGAACCAATAAAAAAAAAGAGATAAAAGATAAATAAAGTAATGAGTGATCCCTCTACTTCCTAATAAAAGGAGCATCAGTGTAAATGCAGCTGTTGTCTCATTTCTTGGACCTCCCCTCCCCTCCCACAGGACCCCCCTCGGTCCCCGGGCCGCAGCTTGGGAACCACCGGGTTTAAGCCATCCCTCTCCGCAGGCTCCATGCTACTATTGTCTAACAAGAGAGCGGGCTATTTGCAAAATAAAGGTAGCCTACTGTCCTGGTCTTAGGCGCTATGTTGGCAGATACACAGGAGCAGGGTGGGATGTTAATGTGCAGCTGAAATGAGCGGGTATTATCAGCGGTAGTCCTCCTGTGTCTCCCCACGGACAGCCTCCGCTCCTCGGCGGTCGGATGCTGGAAGTCCTCGCTGATAAGGGAGCACGCAGGGCTCGCAGAGAAAAGGGAGAAGGGACGCGGAAGGAAGGAAGCAAGGAAGGAAGGATAGGGGAGCATTTTAATACCAAATCGGGACACATGTTGAGCTAACGGCCCGCTCCACCTCCCCCCTTCTTCTCCTCTCAAATGCATTTGTTGCCTCAATCGCTTTCCCGTTACTAATTACTCCGCGGTAGGATCCAGCGGACCTCCTCTCTCCGGCTCCGAGGATCCTCACACACCGTTTCTGGGGCACGATCATGGATCTCAGCAAAATCGTAAGTGCTTAACAACTGCTTTCTTTAGAGAAATAATCAACAGCAACACATAACACTGAGGCTGTGCGTGTTTTTTTGGAGGTGGAGGTGGGGGTGGTGTCCAAGAAGTCTTGTTGCTGCACACACACTAACACACACATGGGCTGTTTGCGCGATTACATGCAAGTTATGCTTCATGCAAGCAGGGGTTTGTTGTCTGGCGATTACTGCAGCTAAATGTGACCGTGGGAACTTTGTTTTTAATGTGGGGAGGAAGGCATGAAGGTCTGAGCTGCAATCTGGGGCACAGGGTCCTTGAAGGGGTCCCAGATAACTGGAACATTTATTGTGGAAATAACCAGAATAAAACACTGTGATCCCGGGTTTCTCTTAACTTCCACTGCACTATGTCTGGTGAAACAGCAACAATCAAAACTCTGTGTTGTGGACAGGGCATTTGCAGCTTTAACTGAGTCTATTTTGGGGTCCAAGACATGAAAATGTCTGAGATGTGCTCCTCTGTTGCCCAGAGCGTTGTTCCTTTCACATGGCTCAGTCTCCAGCTGCAGGTTAGTGGAAAAAAAAAGTTCAGCAAAGCACAGCTCAAGTGTGCCATGAATGTCAATTACACATGTATTGATGTCTGTTGGAGAGAAACCTTAAAGACAGAGCATGTCTTTGTGCAACGATCACACATTAAAAGAGACACTAGGTGTGAAGTTAAAGTCAGGCGAGGCGGTTTATCGGGTTTAAACAGTAAAAGCGAATATTAAATGGAGTGTGAAGTCGAAACAAAGTCAAATCTTGAGCGCATTTATTTCCTTTTGGCTCGGCGTGCTGTGAATGATGCGATAGAGGCTAACAGGCAGGCTAACGTGTACTGGAGCAGGTGCACATAAGCCAAAGCAACAAGACCGGCCTTTCACTGCCAACATGGATGGATGGGTGTACTTTTAGCCCTTGTATAGTAGGTGTGGGGGAGGGTTGGTGATAAAAGCTCACCCAGAGTCCTCTTTCCAGTGATCCCCAGCTTAGGGAGACTCTGAGGAGTTTGTATTGAAGGAAGTATTCAGAGGAACAAATAAATGGTACACATTCACAGTCGCAAATACACGAAGAGACAGTTTCTTTGGTAACTGGAACAGGAAAAGCACTCTGTGATCTCTGAAATAAATCCCAGCTGCCCACATGAAGTCAGTCGGGGCACCTAGCGCAGACATGGCGTAGGTGTAGTGATGGAAAATCTCTTCCTGTGGATCTCCATTTAGTTGCACTTTGCAGGTTATTTGAGTCAAACCTCTTGATGTTATTGGGAAACCGTTAAGTATCGTGGATAGAACAAAACTCCCCAAGGCTGCTCTCCTTGGTTGATTGCCTTCTTCTTTCTGCCGCTATGTTTAGGCTGCTTGGCATGTAGTGAGACACAGTGGTATGAAAACAAAGTCCAGATAGATGCGAGACTCTACATTCCCACACTGCGTTCAAGTTGGGCCAAATACTTGTTGCTTTCAAGAGATTTGAGGAACTTGATTGCATGACAGATGTTCATGTTTTGCATGAGTAGCATGACATTTTTAGAATTATCAGATTAACCGTCATTTTTAGTGTCTTGTGTATTTTCATTTCCCCACTGTAGCCCCGATTGTGGAGTTTACCGATGAAGGCCTACTCTAGGAGTCTGAAACAATCCTGATTTCTTACGAACACTACACTGTTTCCAAGTGTCAGTCGTTTCTGAAACATCAGGAAAAAGAGAAGCAATAAAAGTCCACTGCTGAAGTTGAACAAGGCATGTTGCGACCACATTTTAGGCATCTTTAGACTGCTAAGTCAGAAGGGTGCCTTCTTGCATTATTATGTTGATACTGATCGTCACAGTGTCGCTTTAAGTTGAAACAAGTTTATGTAAATCTCAAAAAATGACAATCTGTCAATACATAGCCTACATGCACTGCAAGCTAGTTTTGTCAATCTGGTACCAGCAGCACGTTTTCTCAAATAAACTCTGTCCAGAAAATCAGGTCCGGACATTCTCTGGAGTTTCTCTTTTACACATGTAGCACACAACAGGAGTTCGTCCGTCTGAAGTGTCCTCACCTACTGGAAATACTCTGGTTTAGGAGAGCGGTGGCGTCTGGGTAGAGCGCACAGGGGGCAGGACATGACACGGATTACTCTGCGGTTTGTAGTTTGGTCATAAGCAACATAGTCTCATGCTGTTTTTTAAAATTTGTCTGATGATTTCGGCTTTGGCCTTTACCGACAGAAGTTCCCGAAGCTTGTTGTCTCTTGAGTTTGACATTTTTGTCACCGTCTTTGCGTAAATTACCCTTCTTTTTGAACCTCGGATGTTTGTTTTCTTCTAGTTTTGCGTGAGCTGCATGATAGAAACTTTATCAACACGCCCACTGACTCGATTTCATTCTCTGGACAGTTACCTGCTTTGTTCAGACATGGGCTCAATCAGACATTATATGGACTTTGTACTAAGCTGTCAGTCTAAAGTCCGTTCAGTGTCCGATACAACTGATTTGGACATTTGCATTCTCACGTCCAGCTCCTCCTGATGGTGTCTAGATAATTTCAGGTTTGCTATGCATGTGTGAAACAGGCTTTATTGTTAATGTTTACTACAGTCATTCTGCTGTTCTCTGCTACTAACCAAGAAAAGAAAAGTTGTCGTTGTGATATTGTAGCCTTGTTATATTTATCGTTAAATAGAAATTTTAACTTGTATGCCCTCAATGTCAGTTTTCACCTGTTGTGTTGAAGATGGTATCGAATATCGATACTTTCCAACGTATTGTATTGAAGTTAAAGATTCCGGTATCATGACAACACCACTTCAAGCTAATGTACTATTGTAGAAACATTACTTTTGTTGTAATTGAAAAGCCGATACTTCCTATCTGTCCAACAAAAAACAGGCCCATCAGCGTCGCTCTTCATCCTTTCCTTCAGGTCTCGCCAGCTAAAGTTAAAGTGAAAGCCAACCACAGATTAACTCTCGTTCTGTTTTGGGTTGAGCTTTCCGCTTGGCATTTCGCTTTGCTATACATGCGTTTTCTCAGCGCTGTTTCAGCTGTCTTCGTAGCTTTCTTTTGGATGTGTGCTGTCTATGGTGTAACATTTGTAATCAACAAATCATTTATTATGTAACAGGGCAATATCAGACATCTTTATTATTATTTTGACTCTGATAAATTAAATTTCAAAGCACATAAATGTACAGATGAGTGAACTGTCTCATACCAGATTTTCACACCTATTTTGCCTCCACATAACATCAGTATCGTCTCTAACGATACACATCAAAAGATGTCTCGAACTAACATAACAAATCAAGCTGGCAGTTGTCAGTCAAACAGACTGCGGTGCTTAGAAACCACTGTCAACAGTCTGTCTGCTGCAGGAGTTTGGCTGCTGTGGGACGGTTTAATTGGTGTCAGATCACAACATAAGCCATCATCAAGTCCTTCAGGAAAACACACCCACACAGGCAAACTCTGTGATGTTCATGCGTGTTCAGTGTTGGGGAGTAATGAGTGAGTGGGATGAGGAGCCTCACTGAGCTGCACAGATGTTCCTTTTATAATGCGCCGTCATGACATCACCGGTCCTGCAGGAAGTCGAGCTTTGGAGCCAAGGCTCCTTCACATGAGGCTGCAGAAAGCCGTTCTATTAGGAGAGGCTCATAAACCTGACATGGGGGTGTGGGCCTGAGAGTTTAATTATGCGGCAGCCTGGCCTTTAGCATCTGTGTGTGTGTCTTTAACCAGCTGCTGCCCTCCACCTCTGGCCCCAGGAACAGAAGCCTGTTGCTCTGAGGTCACACATTAAAAATACCCTGAAGGTCTATGTTTTCATGCTTTCTAATGGGCTCTTTAGAGACGGCATCATCCCACTGGGTCTTATCTGCATCACCAAATGCTCTGTTATTAATGGGATGGAAGATGCTCGGTGCATTCTGTGGAAAACAAGCTCCCAGTTACAGTCTGAGAGTCATTTCAGCCCGTCGGCCTTCCTGATTAGGCTGATAGATGCTGAGGCATTATAGATGGGCACCATCATTTATGAGCAGAATTATTAATTGCAATGCAGATTCTGGACACCGTTGATAATGGTGCAGATCAATATGCAGACTGCCTCACTTCCCTCCAATGAGCCCTGTATAACACGACCTCTGTGAGTTTGTGATTTTCCTCCTCCCTGTGTGCATTCATGTACACAGGAAAAATAGCCACTCTAAAAACGACTTGGCGCCCTCTCCTCTGTGCCAGCCAGGCTCCCTTTTCAAGAGGTGTGGAGTGACTGTCGTATGAGAGCGGATGTTCATGTCAAATCCAACATGTAAAATGGTCCTTAAACAAGCAACACAGAGGGCTCTGTTCAGAGGAGTGACCTTTGGAATCGGGTGGAGTTACTCCTGGAAAAATGTTTGGTCCGACAGCGATTTTCCATTTATTGTCTGATTTTTGAATATGTTTGTAAAAAATGCCATTTCATGGTGAAGAAGGATGTGTGTTTGTGGGAAACACACCGTGAGGCCAGCTTTTAGTTTGATGGTGTATTTCTGGTCATGCATCATGAACCATGAGAGGAGTTTCAGGAAAATGTGCATGTATTTTTAGGTGGTCAAACTTTTCTTTTGCCTGGTACCATTCAAGTACAGAACAAATACTGAGATTAAAGGTCCATTTGGTCATTGTTGGATCGTATGAATTGCAGATAAATTCACACATAGGATCAAAACCAAGTAGTGTGTGGTGTAAACAAACCTTGAACTGAATCAGGAAACATTAAATCTGCTATAATCTGTTTTCATAGTAACAATTAGATCAAATTACCACACGCACACCAAGCTGACAGTCAGCCGTTGGTCAATATTGGGCCGTTGGTCAGTAACTGTCACCCTAGTTGGCTCTTTTTTTGTTGGCTGATTCAGCATGTTGAGCCAGAGAAAGCAGAGCACATCAGTGAATGAAGTCACTGTTATTGGTAATTCAGCTCGGTGCATGAGA